TACAATTTACAATATCTCTTACTAAACTCAGTCATTTAAGTTTTCGTCCTTCGGTACCATATCGAACTAACTACTAGATAGATAACAGGTACCACCTACTTAATTCAATAGAATTAAAATACCATTCCACAAAACGATCACGTCTTTGTTTACAGTGTTAAATTGTTCTATAGAATTATAGATAGAGGGCTATGTCGTACATTACCAAGTCAAATTTTATAGGGTAATAGGTATTTATTGTAAACTAACTTAACCTGCAACTTCGTCTGCGTTTATTTTTGAATAAAAGTATGTCAATTTTACTCCTTAGTACATTAGCTATCTGCCAATAAAAGTCGCGTCAGAATCGGTCCACCCATTTTAGAGATTAGCCAGTATAAATAGATAGACACACAAAAACTGTAAAAAGCCTAATTTTGGTACATTCATATATCGTACATACGACACATATACCAAAATAACACTTTTATATTCATGTAGAAAAGAGATTATATCAATACTAGCGGACCCGACAGACGATGTCCTGTAATAATAGGTATAGATAAATAACCTAGAAACCGAATGCAGCGCCATCTGCCGGGCTGATTTGTGAATCTAAACCATTCCCAGATCCCCTTGAACACACACAAAAAAAATCATCAAAATTGGTCCAGTCGTTTGAGAGAAGTTCAGTGACATTCACACTCACAGAAGAATTATATATATAAAGATTTTATAAACTCCAATTTTTGTTTATCTGTGCTGTATAAATGGACTCGCGACAGACTTCATTCTTGTGTTTGTATGTCTCCTTGGTAATAAGGAATGAATCAACACGACCACAAATCAATCTATACAAAACCAGTTTATCCTGGTGTCGCATCGCATCATCTTTCCGCACATTTAACGTTCAGTTTATACTGGTTATGTAAAGCTCGATGTGTTACCGTGTGTTCAAGTAAACAGTTTGTAGTGTAGGAATTTTACGACAAATAGATATCTTTACTAGTATTTATAAATGCTGAAGTATGTTTGTTTGTTTGTCTTTGTTTAACATTAAAGTGGAACGATTTTGCAGCATGATGTTTGTGTCTGGAGATAATTACGAGGCCGGAGAGTGACGTAAGCAATGTTTATTCCTTAGGACACGCGAATTATGTCGCGTGTAACCTATAGTTATGGTTAATATTATTGCATTAACTAAAAATCAGAAGTTACTTACGTGAAAATACTGGGGAAAGTTCTACTAGTAACCCACGATTTTTAGGTATTATAAAAAGATTAATATTTGTGGTTAACGGCGTACTCACCTAAGTGCTTGTGGAGAACTTCGACTAGTTTCAAGCCACGCTAGGGGCTCATATTTATGAGCAGCATTTAATCAACATGCGCAAGAACGTCGCGCAGCTGATAATATTAAATTCTTAAACAAAAGCACCCATATTTCAATAAATCAAACAAACTTGAACTTCTGCCCATAGCATGCCTAGTAACGATATCAATAAACTTGTTTTAAGAATTAACCCGCCCGCGGTTCAAAGTCGGTGGTTAACCCGTTCCCCGTTATAAATGTCAGTGGTCAGTGCTGACAGCTACTGTTAACTGGCTGACATTTGTGACCACGTTCTAACTCGTTAGTTAAATAGGAAAACTGGATTTTAGGAATATATTTTTAAGTTTTAACTGTAGTTTTTATTGTAGACCATGTTTGTGTTTGTGTAGTCCACAGGCGACGGTGAATTAAATACGTTTTACACCACCATTACTGTAACTATTCACGTTTCATCATTTGACGAATGCATGCATCCTTCACAAATAAATAGTCGAGTTTGTTAAACATTGCTGCTTCGTTGACAGTTTTCATTGTTTCTAAGCAATACGCAAGCATTTGTCATTTGTAGGCCGCCTATTGTTTGTGATTGTGATGCATGCATGCATTCGTCAAATGACGCAATGTAAACAGTGTCTTTTAGACTTTCGGATGGAGTCGGAATTACAGATTTCATTGACAACAGACAACTGCCTTCTGAGAAACGTAAATCTTTTAAATTGCTATCTTCATACCGCAATCCGATCGCATAGACTATAATAAACCTCTCTTATTAGAAGAGGCTCATGGCCTAGCAGTGGACTGTTACGGGTTGTTGTGCATAGATTTTTTATAATATAGAAAACAATGCCATCTAGCGGACGCCCGTATAATTGTTTGTACGATCATCAGTACTAGGTTGAACTAATGTTTCAGTAGTATGAGCATAGATGTCGCTAGATATGGGTTAAAGCTAGATTACCGGAATGTTTGGGATTCTCGTACAACCTAGTACATACTGCGATAATTCCATTTTTGTGAATTTGTATTGGATAAGGGTTGTAATTAAAATAATTTTTGAAAATTCTTACGATTCACTAGGGAAGATTAGGAGTGACGATAAAAGTATTTTAAGCCATATTTAAATTCTGAATAAGGTATTATTGGATTAAAAGCAATCAATTTTGTACTTATAAAACTCGCTAAGCGCATAAATTCAAAATTACCTCCATACCTACTTATAAACAAACAATCAAACAGACCATGAATCATTGGTTTTATTTGAATAAAAAACCTGTGAACTTCATGAGAGCATTGTACTGACATTGGGTACCTCTGCACATTTGTATAGTTGTTTATCTATATTTACACTAACAAAAATTATACACATTACATTTATACATTATATTTCAATGACTTAAGTAAAGTAAATATAAATATTAGTACATGTCTTTTAATAATTCTGTGATTTCTATCTCAAATCATCGGATCGAACTGTAATAATCACATGGTTCCTACATTATCTTATGATAAAATTCCCTTCCATTATGATCAAACAAAATTTTAATCTATTTCTTTCTCTCTTTCCAGGTCCTGTGCCACTAGCTAGAAATATAAGACACTTGCCCTGTATATCAAGAAGAACAGGACAGGAAGGTCTTTGTATGTTCGCCATAGATTGCCTCAAAGCCAATGGATCTCACCTAGGGACCTGTATAGACAGGTTCTACTTCGGATCCTGCTGCCAAATCCCAGACAAAACCATACTACCACAAATTATAGGCAATAACATTGAAGATAATTCTATAGACAGTGCTAATTTTGTTCATCCACAAATTGAAGACAAAGTACATGCAGCAACAAGCAAGATTCCAGATATATTCGCTTCCAAAAAAACTACAACGACTACAACAGAAAAAATCGATAATACAGTAACTGATAAATCTGAAACAGTACTCGATAGAACAGAAGCGATTGATTTAGAAACGAAATCTGATGAACAATCGACTATCGATAACAAAATATCGAATGACGATGTCAAGTTCACTACATCAGCCATCGTAGAAACTACTGTGAGAACTGAGAATAAAATCACCGAGGCACCAGTCACTGAGCTACCTATGAAGCTATCAACGTTCCAAACAGTTTCTAGTGAAAATAACGTTGTAACTGAGAAGCCTCATGAAGAAGAGGTTACTAAAGTTACGACTGTAAAGCCGAAGCCTACTCGGAAACCTTCGAGGCCGACCTTTAGGCCTTCGTCACAAAAGCCATATAACCACACAAGACCTCAATACACCTTATCTACGTACAAACCAAGGCCTGTGAAGCCTGTGTACAATACTACAAGGAAACCTCCTTACAGGCCTCCTAGCAAACGACCTGCTACAAAGAAACCTTTGCCAATCCCTCCCAGATTGAACATAACAATACTACCTCAGTCGACTAGCTCAAAACCAATATTCACGCGACCCTCATCAGTATCTATCACTTACATCAACACTACAGTTGCCACTTCAACAACTTCTGAACCAACCACTACAACAACAACTACAACTACAACGACAACCACAGAACCACCTCCAACAACTGTTCTAACAACTTTAGTAACAGAGAAAGTTGTTGAAGCAACTCAACCAACAACAGAAGCTGAGAAAACGACTCTTTCATCTATCACGGAGACAGAGAAACCAGTTGATAAAACAACTATTTCAGAAGGAACCATTGAAACCACAATAACCGAAGCTGTTAAGGAGACAACTGTGCAAGTATCCGAAGCAACTGAGGTGGTTTCGACTACCGAAGCGGTGCAGGTGGTTACAGAAGCAGGGCAATTGGTTACTGAAGTAGAAGCTACGTCACCTTCTGCTTCTCCTGCTTTTACTGAACCAGCTAAGGTTGAAACCTTGACCACGTTGGAAGTATCTACTAAAGCGCCTGAGAAAGTCACTGAATCTGATGGTAAGTTTCTTTTCCTAACATTTTTGTTAATTAAGAATTTTAGAGGGATGATTTTTAGTAGGGTAGACGACTATTTTTTATTTTAATATCCGTCTGGTAGATTATTTAAAAACATTAGACACGTATTTTTTATTTTATTACGGAAACGAATAGTTTCGAAGATATATTGATTTGAAATGTCGCGTGACGTCACTTCTCAGCACATTTTATACTAAGAAATGACGTTTTAGCCCCCACTCCACTTTGATTCGTTTTATCTGAGTATTGTTTTATTATACGACAAAATAAAAAAATACGTGTTTAATATTTTTTTATTACCTAACTTACGGACTAATTACATTTTTAATTTTCATACCCTGTCATCATCCCCATTGTTGGTTTCGTCAGTTTTTGTTATGCCACCTGGGACAGTCAGTATTAGTAGAAATTTTAATATGTATAGGAACTAGTTATTTTTACTACCTCATTGGTAAGGGGTCTTGGCCTCGATTCCTAGGCTAAGTATAATACGTGCTCAGTAATGTAGTATTTAATTAAATGATGATGGATTTATCACACGTAGTAGGTATCTTACCTATCCTTTTTTGTATCAACAGGCTTGATGTTACGTTACAATTTGAATTGATAAAAAATATTATGCCAATCATTGAATTAAGTATGACAAACACGTTCCTTGGCGTTCTTTCACAAGTCTACTTTTTTGCTATCATAAACTGATATACTCATAGTGATGATAGTGTATGAATCCGTATTATAAGTGGTAAACTCATTACCATACATTAGATACAGTTGCAATCTTCGGGCTTGTTATTGATAAATTCAAGTTTGATCAACCTTTAAGTAAAGGCTTCCCGCCTTGGGTGAGGCGAGAGGGTTTGTCAGACACTTACTGAAGACAAAATCATTTATTCTAACGACCAATTAATTACTTTTGAACGCCAAGATACAAATTGTCAGGCTGTCAGTTAGTCCTCTAGTGAAGCTATTTGCTCGTCTCAAAGTGTGGATTCCTATGGAGAAGAAAGAGCAAAAAAACTCCATAGGTTACCTACTCTTTTCCACTCTTCTTGATTACATTGTTTAGTTGGTTCAATTATCTGGCTAAAATCCACCTTGTTCCTAATCCTCGTTAAAGATGGAGCACCGGTAACCGGAGTTTGACAAACTTGCGAATTGACGAAATCGATTTTTTTTTTCACCCGCCTGGGTGAGGCGGGAGGGAATGTCAAACTCTTACTGACTAAAAACCACCCCGTTCCTTCTGCTGCACTTCGAGCCGGAGCCCCGGTAACCCGTTAGGTTCTCCACGACATACTACTTGTTTAACAGTCGTTCTTGAAACCACTTAAACACAATATTAAACAATTCCGAATCATCATTACTCATTGGTCATAAGATCATGATTTGTGACGTCATATAAATATAGTCCGCCATATTGTTTTTGTCCGTTTGTCACCTACGCAGGTTAAGTTTAAGTTCAATGACTTAGGACATTACACTTACTAATGGGTAGTGTATGTATGTAGATATGTTTGTTGACATTCTCGATAGGCAGGGAGTCCGATTTGATGGATGGTTTTTTATTACTTTGGAATCTATTCTTGGTTTTAAGATTGCTAAGTCGAGTGTGGAAACCAATCATCGTTTTGATTTTAATTGATTTTCGGGTTAAGAAAATTAAATGCATCATTGTGTTTTCCGTTTAAAAATTCAAATCAAATCAAATCAAAAATTTTTATTTGCTAAAACATCCTAATTGAAAAACATAATAGACATATTACTCGCCCCTACAATTTTCGAAAGTTCCCCTCGGTTTCCCTAGGATCCCATCATCAGATCCTGACCTCATGGAAATGGGACCATCTCGGGAGTATACCCTTTCAAACAAAACATGAATTTTGGAAATCGGTTCACAAATGGCGGAGTAATCAGCGAGCAAACAAACAAAACAAAAAACAATCAGACGAAGGCGAACATAGTACCTCCTCCTTTTTTGAAGAAGTCGGTAAAAATACAGTAATTCTCTTTTTAAATTTAGTCGCATAAATTCTCAGTGTTTTATCCCGTCCTCTATTGTTTGTGTATACTTTGATTCTAATGTAACGCAAGAATAAAAATTATTCCTCTCCGTACATTACCAGGAAAAGAGGTTAAAAAGTTCGCTACGTCTTCTAAGTTTAAAGAACAATGTAGTCTGTATCTATCACACTCGGGAGTAGGAGTAAGAACGAGGTGGTTTTTAATCAGTAAGAATCTGACCTGACCGAAGGCGGAGGCATTCGATGATTTACCCCCTCAGAAAAGAAAATCTTCCTAAATATACGCAGACATAAAAATCGTATCATAAAATAGACAGTAATTATGTATGCGCTTTATACCGTACAATTCAATACTAAATACCGTTAGTTAGCATAATAATTTAATTTGCATATTTTAGCTCTTTAGTTTTTAGTTTATCTATTAGTATTTTGTCACCTTAATTACTGGTTCGGCGAGGTGGTTAACGACTACTAGAATATTTAACCATTGCATCATCATCTATTATTTTCTGTTCCTACTATACAATGTATAATGTTGAATATTAGTATATGTTATAAATAATAAAATGGTCAAAAACGTCAATTAATAAAAAACTAGTGGTTTGATAAAAATGATTTTATTTTTAATTTGTTGTCAATACACCAATAAACATTTAACATGACATCACGCCTTTTATCCCCGAAAGGGTAGGCAGAGGTGTACATTAAGCCACTGTACAATGTAACACTCAGTTTTCACTATTTATGTTATAAGTCCCATGTAATAGGGGGTGAGCCTATTGCCATATACCGGGCACAATTCCAGACAGACTACTGTGATTTTTTTTAAAATCCCGTAATACTTTGCCCGACCCGGGAATTGAACCCGGCAGTCGCACTTGCGACCACTCGGCCAATGAAGCAGTCGTCAATAAACATTTAATAATACTAATACCTTTTTGTATTAAGTTCGGGTTTTTTTGACTGAAATCAAAAATGTTGAATATCTCAAAAGCTAACCACATTCGGACTAGGCCCTCGGGGCTAATTTTGTAGGAAATTAGTTTTATTTTGACCTCCCGAGAGGGATACGTCGAGACTAGTCACCCTGTATAACTTATTTTAACATCAAACCTAGGGGGGCAGGTTAGACTATTGTAATACTCTTCTTTGCTCAATCGAGCAAGGTTGGTGCGGTGGCTGGGCAGCCGGCTGCCGTGCAACGTGTCGCGGGTTCGATTCCCGCACGGAACAACACTTTGTGTGATCCAGGCTCACCCCCCTATTACATGTGACTCATAACATAAATAGTGAAAAGTGGGTGTTGGAATAATATGCACTTCTGCCTACCCTTTCGAGGATAAAAGGCTAATATTATGTTATGTAACAAAATAAAATTAAACTTTAACTCGTCGAGTACCGGTTTTGTAGACACAATTATAGAATAATAGGTTGCGGTCACCGGTGACCGCTTGGTGTTTGATAGTTTAAAGACAAAGATAGATATAGTTTTTCTAAAGTCATGATAATTAATTACTTAATTACAAGGGTAGGTTGTTTGTTATTGTCATAGCTCAAATACATTTAGTTATCTATGTATCTACTTGTAAAGTATGCCATGGATATTTTCACTTGTAACATTGATACTGCCAGGTTGAAGTGAACTTCAAATACACTTAATAATATCTTGAGATGTTAGTAAATAGTAAACAAAACATATCCTCGCACTTTTTGTCTCTGAAGAGGTAAGCAGAAGTTAGTAAGGAAGGCTTTTGTTTTTTAGTTATTTATTGTGTTTTTTTTTATGGCATAAGCCGGTAAACGAGCAAACGGGTCACCTGATGGTAAGCAATCGGCGTCGCCCATGGACACCTGGAACACCAGAGGCGTTACAAGTGCGTTACCGGCCTTTTGGGGATTAGGAGTTTGAGGATCGTTGGGAATTCAGGGATTAGGGAGATTGGGGAAGGGGAGGGTAATTGGGCCTCCGGTCACCTCGCTCACATGACGAAACACAACGCAAGCGTTGCTTCACGTCGGTTTTCTGTAAGGCCGTGGTATCACTCTGGTCGAGCCGGCCCATTCGTGCCGTAGCATGGCTCTCCCACGCTTGATTGTGTTATAAATTTTCAGATTTTATTAGATTTATATTATCCATTAATAATTGAAATACTTTTGTAGATAAGTTACAAATTATTATAGTCAATTTTGTTCATAGCTTTAAGAATTTAAAAATGTTTGCTTGCCAGATAGTAGAATGCCACCGCGGATGGGGCCCAATAGGGCTGATGTCGATACGGAGCCGCGGAGGACTTAATAGGTTGCCGGGGCTCCGGCTCAAAGTGTAGGAGAAGGAACGGGGTGGTTTGTTGTCAGTAACAGTCTGACACTCCCTCTCACCTCACCCAGGCGGGTTGATTGATGATTTTCTTCCATCAAAAAAGGTGCCGATGCCAAAAAGAGAATAAACTCTACTTAAATCGTTGAGTACCGTCATTATAGACACAATTAAAGAACAATAGGTTGCGGTCACCGGTGACCACTCGGTGTTTGACAGTTTAAGGGACTAATCGTTTGACATATGCTGTCTAACAAAACTTTAACTTCAAATAACTAGTCCACTTTTCTTCAGGCCTCCTTCACATAGGAGGTGCAGCGGAGACCAACTGTCCCAAAAGCCATCGGACCACCATCGATGGTTGTCTGATGGCTCTTTCAGGCGCGCGCGGAACGCGACGCCTGGTACGCCTTAGAACACAAACTGCACTTCCTTTTACCATAACACAAGCCTATCAATTACACTTTACTTTCTTTCTACCACTAGACCAACGCCCCCTCACCTACGACGTCTGCTTACCCGCTTTTCATTGCGAGCACGTATCTAGGTCGAACACGCGCGAACTTCAGTCCTATCATTGTGCTGTCACTGGTAGAGGTCACTTTCTTTTATTCATATTGTTTTGTTGATTTTGTGGGAATTTTTATTAGCGACTAGGTTCGTCGTTGCCGTCGTAGTGATGGTTCGATAGTAATATTGTTCTCAAAAATGTAGTGCACACTTATAATGAATTATAGAAAACGAAATAAAACAATTATGTATTTTAAAATGGAGTTATAATCAAGAAATCATTAGGTACATGATTAAATAATATTTAAATAGAAAAACAAAATAATATACACACACATAAGCATGTTAGATTTCCATTAATATCATAGGAATCTTTAGGGTCTATTCTGACAATTGAAAAAGGACAGTAATGAAATAAAATACTATGATTAAAATATTGTAACGAAGTTCAAAATGTTACAGTTCCTTAAACGGTCTCCTCAACAAACATCCATTATCAGTTATATAGGACGAACCAGTAATAGCTACCGCTTTGTCGCTAGCTAAGAACAACACTACATCAGCTATTTCGTCAGGCTCTGAGATTCTATCAAGAGCAGTCGCCTCCTTCATCTTATCCCAAAAACTGTTAGCTTCATCCTTACCCACACCAAGATTTTGAACGAAATCCGTCCTCACAGGCCCTGGGTTTACAGAGTTGATCCTCACACCTTTCGGAGCAAAATCAAGAGCAGCTGATCTCATGAAATGGTCCAAACCAGCTTTCGAAGTGCAATAAGCAAAATGTTCAGCTGTGATCACACTTACGGCTGCAATACTAGAGATGTTGACTATGTTGCCCTTTGTCTGGATCAAGTAAGGAGCTGCTAGGTTCGTCAGGTAGACCACGGAACGAAGATTTGTAGCTATCACTTTGTCAAAAACTTCCATAGCATTCGTATCCCAGACCGCAGCTTTGCCTCCTACTCCTGCGTTATTGATCAAAATATCAATTTTTCCAAACTGATTAATGGTCTGCGCTATTATTTTCTTTATGTCTTCGTTCTTGGTGACGTCTGCGATCACCATGATGGCTTTACCACGGTGTTTATCACATTTCTTGAGGACTTCTTTAAGTTTTTCTTGATTGCGTGCTACTAGTACAACGTTAGCAGCTTCTTCAGCGAATTTGATGCCAACTGCAGCACCGATGCCAGAACTTGCTCCCGTAACGATCACCACTTTATTGGCGAAACTCATTGTGGAATTTTCAACTTTGTTGTACGAGCCCTAGGTTAAGTATGTATGCAAATGACTTTGCAATTCATTTGTAAGACTTTATATATCATTTGCTTGAGTTATTATTTGTCTATCTTCTTCAAGTTAATTGTATGACAAACAATTCCTTGTACTTTAACTCAAGTGCTATTTAATGTTTCTATGCAATTTGTGGCCAGTTGCTAGTCACTATAGACACTTCATCTATTATTGTGTCTAGGTACTAAATGTAAGTGAAGTGGTTACTCCTTACCTACATTTATTAAGTACCCTAATGACTTGCATTCTGTAATATTATTGCGTAGTTTTCGATCCCAGTGAAGATCTTGTTGCCTTTTTCACCAAATATCCCTAAACGATCGTAAGGTATCACTTATAGGTTAGTCAAAACCGAAATGACGTGAATACTCATCTATCTTAGCTTAGGGGTTCCTTAAAATTTAGAAGAGGTTAGTGAAAACAGGCTTAAATTTAACTAGCCAGCGGCTTCACCCGCGATCCCGTCCGATAAAAAGTAGCCTATGTATGTGTTAGTTGGTCTACCCCACTACCAAATTCCATCCCGATCTCTTCAGCCGCTTTGACGTGAAAGAGTAAGACACAAACACACATCCTCAAAAACTTTCATTTATTATATTAGTAGGATTAAGTAACAAGCATCGCACCCTTAATATTTTTCCCGAAGGAATAGTCAACATGTCAACATATTATTTTGAATATTATGAAGCTTCACCACCTAATTATTGTCTAAGCTAAGATAGATTGATATAAACGTTATTTTGGTTTTGACCAACCTGTAAGTAATACCTAACACTACAAGTAAGGGGTCGGTTTTACTTAAGAGATGATTTAGGGATGATTGGTGAAAAAGGCAACTAGATCTTCACTGGGATCGAAAACTACGCAATAATATTACAGAATGCAAGTTATTAGGGTACTTAATAAATGTAGGTAAGGAGTAACCACTTCACTTACATTTAGTACCTAGACACAATAATAGATGAAGTGTCTATAGTGACTAGCAACTGGCCACAAGTTGCAAAGAAACATTAAATAGCACTTGAGTTAAAGTACAAGGAATTGTTTGTCATACAATTAACTTGAAGAAGATAGACAAATAATAACTCAAGCAAATGGTATATAAAGTCTTATAAATGAATTGCGAAGTTATTTGCATACATACTTAACCTAGGGACCTACCTCGTACAACGAAGTTAAAAATTCCACAATGAGTTTCGCCAATAAAGTAGTGATCGTTACGGGAGCAAGTTCTGGCATCGGTGCTGCAGTTGGCATCAAATTCGCTGAAGAAGCTGCTAACGTTGTACTAGTAGCACGCAATCAAGAAAAACTTAAAGAAGTCCTCAAGAAATGTGATAAACACCGTGGTAAAGCCATCATGGTGATCGCAGACGTCACCAAGAACGAAGACATAAAGAAAATAATAGCGCAGACCATTAATCAGTTTGGAAAAATTGATATTTTGATCAATAACGCAGGAGTAGGAGGCAAAGCTGCGGTCTGGGATACGAAAGCTATGGAAGTTTTTGACAAAGTGATAGCTACAAATCTTCGTTCCGTGGTCTACCTGACGAACCTAGCAGCTCCTTACTTGATCCAGACAAAGGGCAACATAGTCAACATCTCTAGTATTGCAGCCGTAAGTGTGACCACACCTAAACATTTTGCTTATTGCACTTCGAAAGCTGGTTTGGACCATTTCATGAGATCAGCTGCTCTTGATTTTGCTCCTAAAGGTGTAAGGATCAACTCTGTAAACCCAGGGCCTGTGAGGACCGATTTTGTTCAAAATCTTGATGTGGGTAAGAATGAAGCTGACAGTTTTTGGGATAGGATAAGGGAGGCGACTGCTCTTGATAGAATCTCAGAGCCTGACGAAATAGCTGATGTAGTGTTGTTCTTAGCTAGCGACAAAGCGATAGCTATTACTGGTTCGTCCTATATAACTGATAATGGATGTTTGTTGAGGACACCGTTTAAGGAGCTGTAACATTTTGGTACATAAAAGAAGCTTCGTTTAATCATTTTTTTTTATTTCATTACTTTCATTTTTGAATTGTTAGAATAGACCCTAAAGATTCCTATGATATTAATGGAAATCTAACATGCTTGTGTGTGTATATTGTTTTGTTTTTCTATTTAGTAAAATATTATTTAATTGTGTACATAATGACTTCTTGATTACAACTATATTTTAAAATACATAATTGTTTTATTTCGTTTTCCACATTTTATTAAAAAGGTGCACTACCAGTGCCCTGACCCAGATATCGTTTAGATTGTTCAAAATTCACAGAAAGCTATCATTTTTGACATATCAAAAATAGTATAGAATATCTAATACCTACTCTAAGTATATTTAAGTACCTGTAACCTAAATCTACTGATGCTATGTTATTGATACTGATCACTAGTTTTCCATCCTTTCTTGGCATTACTCCAGCGATCACGAACGGCACTGGAATAACGATAGATCACGAACTCAGCTCCGTGACCACTGTGTTCTACTTACCCATGTAACGACACGATTCTCATGAGAATTGTCAAATTCAACGATTTTAGGACAAGTTCGATATTTGGTGTCATGATTGCACGGTTGGTGGAGCAGTTAAGCGATCAGGCAGCTGTAGCCATTGTCTGCATTTAGCGCTTGTCTACATGTAGAATAGAAAACCAAAATATATGAAATTGACGTAAATTTTGACACTTGTCAGTGTCATCCTCATACATTTTGTATTCTACTCTCTCTGTAGACAAGCGCTAAAGTGGCGTTTGGCTAAAGGCACAGGGTCTCAATTCTGATATTACAATAGTGTCAGAATGATCGATCATTGATTTCAAAATTGTTCATTTTAACCAGATCAGACTGCCTCGTTGGCCGAGTGGTCGCATGTGCGACTGCCAGGCAAGCGGTCTCAGGTTCGATTCCCGGGTCGGGCAAAGTATTACTGGGTTTTTCAAAAAATTTCGGTAGTAGCACGGAGTCTGGTATTGTGCCCGGTATATGGCAATAGGCTCACCTCACATGGGACTCATAACATAAATAGTGAAAAAGTGGGTGTTACATTGTGCAGTGGCATAACGTGCACCTCTGCCTACCCTTTTGGGAATAAAAAGGCGTGATGTTATTATGATTTCAACTACTAACACACCATTGAAAGTAATGACATAATAAAATGGTAACCTCGTGCGTACCTAATGACTAATTGACAGATACTTCAGATTGCACATAACACTGATAGATATTTTGTAAAATAAAATGTAAATAACATCTGGCATGAATAAATATTTAAATTTAGTAGTAGGTTTTCGAAAATTATTTCTACTATAAAAGTTTTATAATAATGGCAATAGGGCAATGTCATTTTACTACAATGGGGATGATGACAGGGTATGAAAATTAAAAATATAATTAGTCCGTAAGTTGGGTAATTAAAAAACATTAGACACGTATTTTTTTATTTTGTCGTATAATAAAACAATACTTAGATAAAACGAATCAATGTTTAGGAGTGGGGGCTAAAACGTCATTTCTTAGTATAAAATGTACTGAGAAGTGACGTCACGCGACATTTCAAATCAATATATCTTCGAAACTATTAATTTCCGTAAGAAAATAAAAAATACAAAAAAAATGTTTTTAAATAATCTACCAGACGGACATTAAAATAAAAATTAGTCGTCTACCCTATTCCATTGCGAGACCATTGACCTATCAATGGTCGAGTATTATGAATTTAGCAGATTGGGAACTTTTAGCAAAATGACAACGCGATTGTGTTGGAATGATAACAATTATAAAAAATAGCAGACTGCGTATGTTTCTTTGATCCTCCGGTATCGTGGGTGCATTTACTAACATACCTACGCTCGGTACAACAGTTAAAATGAAATTGTGTAGATGTGCAGGACTCATACTCACCTCACCTAACTCAGCAGTAGTCATACTGTGTCGAACAACTGTTTAGGCGTAAAATTATAATAAATAGGCTGCCTCGTTGGCCGAGTGATTGCAAGTGCGACCGGGCAAAGGGTCTCGGATTGATACCCGGGTCAGGCAAAGTATTATTAGGGTTTTTTAAAGAAAATCTCAGTAGTTTACCACGGATTATGAATTTGTGCTCGGGAATAGGCTCACCCCTTATTACTTGGGACTCATAACATAAATAATGAACAGTGGGTGTTACATTGTACAGTGGCATTAAGTGCTGTAATGCGCACCTCTGCCTCACCCCTTCGGGAAAAAGGTGTGATGTTATATTAAACAAACAAAGTTTATAATACTTAATGTTATATAATAATACTAAGCAAGACATCAGGTGTTATGTGCAGTCAGTGTACGAAACTACTTGCATGTAAAATCTGTCAAGACTCCATAATATTATTCTTTTGCAAACACATAACGATCTCATAATAGTTTTACTACAGTTTGCTTTGTCTTCTTATCTACATGGTCATGACAAAAACCTCTAAACAATTACGTCTGCTTCACTTTTGACCAGCGTTTCTCAAATTGTGGATAAGGCTGTGTCTCATGTTTATGTCTTCCATTTTACACCAACCCACTTATATATTATAAACTTAAGTACTTCCCTATATTCCGAACAAATCAATAAATATGTAAAAAAAATAAATGTTAATAAAGGTATTATGTTACTAAAAATAAATGTTAATTGTAATATTTTGGGTTCATCTGATGACCGAAATTGACTGAATTTTATCCAAAACTCTAAATCAAGATTAAAAAAATCTCAGTAGTAGCACGGAGTCTGGAATTGTGCCCGGTATATGGCAATAGGCTCACCCCCTATTACGTGGGACTCGTAACATAAATAGTGGAAACTGGGTGTTACTTCTGTGTGCACCTCTGTCTACCCCTTCGGGGATAATAGGCGTGATGTTATGAATATCTAAATCAAATAGAATTTCAATAGAAATTCAATAGAACTAATGGCATCAATCAACAAGTTTGTTGATTGATTGATTCAATTTCGGACTTACATCATGCTCTTTCAATGCAAATTTTAGAATATTTGAGAAACGTATGTTTCTTGTGTTGTTACAGATAACTTTATTAAAAATAATGACTCGATGTACCACAAATTGTGTTGTGAATATCTTTTATTTTATTATTTGTGGAGGCTATGATGTCATCGAGTTCGTGTTATATAATTCTAACATTTGTTACTTAGTTTCAAATGAAATAGTAAATAAATTGGTTTATTGATTCAAAATTGCGATGACGACGGCGAATGGAAATTAAAAATCTAATTAGTCCATGAGATAGGTAATGAAAAAATGTTAACACGTAATTTTTTAATTTGTCGTATGTATAATAAAATAATACTTAGATAAGACGAATCAAAGTTTAGGAGTGGAGACTAAAACGTCATTTCTACGTATAAAATGTACATAGAAGTGACGTCACGCGACATTTCAAATCCATATATATCGTCTTAAGTATTCGTTTCTGTAAGAAAATAAAAAAATACGTGTCGAATGATTTGAAATAATCTACCAGACGGACATTAAAATAAAATTAGGCATCTACCCTTATCGAAGCCAGTTTTAGCTCTTTGCTAATATCGACTTAGAAATTTAGAACTCATCAGTACAAGATGTTTTTCTCTTGCTTACTTCTGCTGTTTATAGTAATAATACCTCTTTTATAATTCCTCTAATACCTCTTTATTTCTGCAAGCTTAATAAACAACAAATTTTACAGAAAAATGGCCAACAGAAGGCTGGGTGCTAATATCTTCAATACCACCACAAGACACCACTTCAACAACGACAACTACAACACCTGCGCCTACAACAACAACTTCAACAACAACAACACCTGCTCCTACAACAACGACAACAACAACAACTACCACAGCAGCCCCTACAACGACCACTACAACTACAACAGTTGCACCTTCGACAGAACAACAGACAGTGCAACCATCTTCAACCACAACAACTGAGGCGCCTGCATCAACTGTGACAACTCAACAACCTATTTTAGAGTTTACTGTCAACGTGACCCTGTCTCCTACTATACCGACATCAACTCAAAGTATTGGATTAACAACCTTCACTTCTGTTTCATCTGAAAATGCAACTGAAAGTGTTAGCAAAAATGAGACTAGTTCTAGTACTACTGAAGCTATAAAACCTTCGGGTGAGTATTCTAAAACGCATTTTTACATACTAGGGTTTCGTCCTGTGTCGTAGTATGTCATATATAACACATTGTCTTTTGCAGTTTAGTTCGATATGTTAATATTAGATCGAGAATCGAACATGGTACCCCATTGGGTCTCAGGTTCAATTTTCGCCTCGGCCAAAGTATTATTATTTGTCTAACCCCCAATTAAAGATTAAAATAGAACATATACAAAGGGTCATTGTACTCGATTTAGTCACTTATTCTGAAGACTCACTATTCAGGTTTCGTTTTTATAAATTACTAGCGACCCGCTCCGGCTTCGCCCGGATGCAATATGCATGTGTTATACATACAAGGTGTAGTTTTGAAACCATGTCATTTCTCGGGGGTATGCAACAGAAGTCATAAAGGTTCAATGTAAGAGAAAATTTCGGGCCAATAGTTAAAAATACAGCTATAATAAATCGTTTAAGTTCGACAATATTTCAGAATAAGCGACAGCAATTTTTCTTATTGGAGTTTTATGGAATTAGGAATAATATATCAATTATGTGTTTGAGTTTGTGTATGTTAAGCCGCGTTATAAAGCTAGTTACAAGACGGCGGTGTGGAGTTTGCACTTACGGATTTCCGTAATTTACAGAAAAATGAAAAATATTTACCCACAATATTTTTTACTGATTCTGTCTCAGAATCGATAGCTGAGTTGCCTCCTAGAAAATGACGCGGCTTTAAAACAACACCTTGTATAATTAAGTTCCTTAAGAATCACTCTGTTTATTAAAAAAACCGCATCAAAATCCGTTGCGTAGTTTTAAAGATCGAAGCATACATAGGGACAGACAGACGGCGGATAGCGACTTTGTTTTATACTATGTAGTGATGTATAAGAGTTGTAGGTACTGAAATATATTCTTGTGATTATTTTTTCAGAAGAGACCACCATAGCTACTACGTTAATACCTGAAACCACAACTGAAAAGGTTAACATGTCTGACTACAAAAATGGTGAGAAATTTTCATATACGTAATTTTTTTGTGTCAACTTATAATTTTATTTTATCCATCTCAAACAAACATCTCTTATTTTACATTAATTACTTTATTCAAATAAAAAACCTTAATTAAAACAATTACTTAAATAAAATTAAAACTAAATATTACTAAATTAAATATATACAACTTAAGATTAAAATTAATTATAGGAAAATCAAAAACAACTATTTTCATAAAGCATCGAAAAATTCGTCCGCATCGACGTCAGTGGGGAAAGTATCCAGAAGGCTGGCAGTTATTTTATACTAGCTTTTACCCGCGGCTTCGCTCGCGTCACAAAAGGATAAAAAGTAGTCTATGTGACATATACCAATACATACAGCGCCATCTATACCAATACTTTTGTTTTCCCTCGGGAATATCAAATTTTTTCGCGATAAAAAGTACCCTATTATTTAATCCAGACTACTAACTTAACGTCTGCAAAAATTCAATGCAAACGGTTTAGTAGTTACGGCGTGAAGTCGGAACAAACAAACAAACTCACTTTCCCATTTATAATAAGGATAGTAAGGATAATTTCCTAAGCAGAATGTTTAAATCCATCACTATTCTGTTGTGAAAAAAGAAAATTTATTACAATATTTTTATATTACCTAAATCCTGTGTATAACTATATATAGGTAATATGTTGTTCATTAAATCAATTAATTATAATCGTTCCGGCAATCATACCGCTAATATTAAACTATCAACAAACAAACAATAATAAAATTATAAATATCCAAACCAATAGCAAAAACCATTGTGGCGACGTTGTGGTAGCCCCCCGCTCACGCTCATAAATGAAAAATCAATGGATGACGTCATAAAAATCCTACATCGCACTTGTGAAGTGTACATACGAATTAACATGGATACAAATTCCCAACGGATAACTGTTGGGCCGAAAGCCCGCCAGGCACGATCATCTCGTCTGGTCGGAGGATCCCCCTTTTCCGATCTTAAGGAACTATATACTCTCTGTTCCCTGAAACCATCTTCGGAAAATCAAATCTACTACATACTGCTATTTAATCTACTGAGTCAAAACGTATACATTCTCCTTTCTCGCAAACGATTAGAGATACGGAAATCACAGATCTCAATTATAAGGTATCGACTAGTATCGAGGACAATTTAATTTAATAATAATTTCGATTAATTGTTTAATAACCACCCATTGCTTCAAGATGATTTATTGGGCCCAACAATGATAGGAAACAACTGTGAACCAACAGTGACATTATTATGACACGAATGACAATTTCTATTATTTCAAAATGGCTGCATTTCGTGGCAGACGACACATTCACATCAATAAGTACAGAAGTAGTCAGAGATTCCGATTTCCCGAGAGGGTTCGATTCCCGGGTCGGGCAAAGTACTACTGGGTTTTTATAACTTCACAGTAGTAGCACGGAGTCTGGAATTGTGCCCGATATATGGCATTAGGCTCACCCCCTATTACATGGGACTCATAACATAAATAGTGAAAAGTGGGTGTTATATTGTACAGTGGCATAATGTACACCTCTGCCTACCCCTTCGGGGATAAAAGGCGTGATGTTATGTTACGTAAGTAGCCAGAGACCATAGAGCGCCACCGCGACTGTCACGACTTTTGGAATTCATTCCCGCCGGGTACAATGTAATTACCCGAATAATATAGATGTGCCATATCTCTTGTTATATGAGACTCTTAGTTGGTGAAACCTGATTATGTATACTCCACTGCTGAGGCCTTCAATTGAGGGCTTTGCCAACTACACCATCATCTTAACCCTTGGCAGGCTGGAAATCGTAGTTTAAATGGTTAAGGGGGCTTACTCTTGAATCCAATTCCGATCGATCGACATTGGTATTGTGAAATTTCGTAGTCTTGAGTTGCAACACTAGCGCCCATTGCACCCGTATTGCGTGGATATTGATTGAACTAAATGGTATTGAGTTTGGATTTATATTCCGTACTCTGAATGCTATTTTAACAGCTACGATAGCTACGATAGTATAGTTTTGACATTGAATAATTATTGAGATTTTATTGGATTGAAATTGCATTGACATTGAGATTTACTTCGAGAGTATGCATCCTGGTTTCTCAAAGGGCTCTTCCTCGGTCTCTTATTTCTTAAATCAGAATTATCTTACAAGTATAACGACCCACAAGAAGAATAGAATTCGAATGATGACAGCGTATGAAAATTAAAAATCTATTTAGTCCGTATGTTAGATAATGAAAAAAATATTAGACACGTATTTTTTTATTTTGTCGTATAACACAACAATACTTAGATAAACCGAATCAGAGTTTAGGAGTAGGGGCTAAAACGTCATTTCTACGTATAAAATGTACATAGAAGTGACGTCACGAGACATTTCAAATTATTATATATTGTCAAAAGTATTCGTTTCTATAAGAAAATAAAAAATACGTGTCTAATGATTTAAAATAATTTACCAGACGGACATTAAAATAAAAATTAGGCATTTACCCTATTGGTGACCAATTATGTTAATTTTTATCGTCACCACAGGGCATTATGATAGCTATAGGTACAGCGTAATAACGACAATGCCATGTTAAATTATGTGAGAACTATTTTAAAAAAGACGATCACAGATATTTTAATTCAAAATGTATATAAGTATATATTTTCAAACAATGTACATACATATAATATACTACATTCATAGTACAAGGAAGTATAGTTAGATTATAACATGGCATGACGCTAGCTAATTGTTAGATTATTAACTACGGTTTAATTATACGCAGCTATTGTTGGGTCAACTGATTGTTTTGTGGTTAGGCGTGGTCTACAATTACTGGTGTGTGTACAGATGTGTATGGAATGTTGTGTTTTTTAAATGGAATAAGCCGGTAAACAATCTTACGTTGATTCGTATCATCAGGTGATCTGATGGTAAGCAATCGCCGCCCATGGACACCGAAAACACCAGAGGTGTTCAAGTGGGTTACCGGCCTTTTGGGGATTAGGAATTTGAGGATTATTAGGGATTTGGGAATTGGGGAGGGGATAATTGGGCCACTCGTACGAGGAAACACAACGCAAGCGTTGTTTCACGTCAGTTATCTGTGAGGCCGTGGTATCAAAATTCTACTATCTGTCCTTATTACTGCGAAATGATATTAAAAAATTGGAAAACCCAGTAACAAACCGAATAATAACACAATTTTATTTTTATTATGATTAGGTAGCCTACACCTTCATTCAAAAAGGTAAAAATCAAATCTGACTGCACATTTCATAGATATCATTTTACCTGCAATAAGTCATTGTGCAAAACTGCTCATTTAAAATTAAAGCCCGCGAGTGTGCACCAGCCTTAACACGCGTAGTAATTAATTAATATGTCCCCACGGTGTAGTCACGGGCGAATGGATGAGAGTCTTAATTACAGATTAATTCTAATACATGCCCATACTGATCAGTCACTGGTTTACAGTCAGCTAGTCAGCTGATTGACTGCAACTGGTTGTGGAAGATTACAATACTTAAGTAGGTACTTTATAAGACTTTTGATTTCTTGTAGGGGGTTTTCCAAAATGATACAGTAAAAATTGTTCTTGTTCATTATCCAAAAATCTCTGCACATAAATTGCCAATGTATTGAAAAAGACAAGAAAAGTGTGGAAGGGTCACGCTTCGGCACGAATGGGCCGGCTCGTCCGGACTGATACCACGGCCTCACAGAAGACCAACGTGAAACAGCGCTTGCGTTGTGCTTCGTCATGTGAGTGAGGTTACCGGAGGCCCAACGACCCTCCTTTCCTAGTTTCCCCAGATTCCCCAGTTTCCCCAATCCTCATACTCCAATTCCCAAAAGGTCAGTCACGCACTTGTAACGTCTCTGGTATTTCACGTGTCCATCCATGTGTGACGACGATTGCTTACCATCAGGTGATCCGTCTGCTCGTTTACCGGCTTATGCCATAAAAAAAGAGTTCAGTAAAAAACGCTTTAAATCAACAAGCATGCATGAAGAGATTGATAAATCGATTTATCATAAGTATGTCCGAATTCTACTATTTGGCATACCATTTGTGCCTTTAATTTTGATACCCGTGAAACTACTCCAATTGGGTAGTTTCCAGGGTATCAAAATTAAAAATCTAATTAGTCCGTCAGTTACATAATGAATAAATATTAGATACGTATTTTTTTATTTTCTCGTATTAAGTTGCAATACTTAGATAAAATGGCGCTAAGTTTAGGAGTGGGAGGTTGTTACGTCATAACGTGCTACAAAATGTGGCAGGCTGTGACGTCACACGATATTTCGAATTATATAAATTATAAAGCTCCAGAACTCGGTTCTGTAGCTCGGTTTGGTAGCTAACAACAAAACACACACACACACACACACACACACACATAACACACGCGTGTTGGTTGCGGTGTACTAATGCACTCTGTTTGACGGTAAACTTAGATTAAGACAAATGAAATAATGATAATCCTTGCATTAAACAAATATGAGATACATTCCCTTCTTTAAGATTAGAGACGAACTATTTCGAGTTTGGTGTACGATTGTTATTCGTGCTTTGTATTTCATATTCATCTATCTTCTATACTTATAATAAATCTGTAGAGAGGTCAATTCTGTACATAAAATATATTTAAAAAATAACTATCAAGGGGTGGTTAGGGATCGCTACTGATGCCAAAAATGCAATCAGTAAAATTTTTGTCTGTCTGTCTGTCTGTCTGTATGTTCGTTATGGAAACAAAAACTACTCGACGGATTTTAACGAAATTTGGCACAATTATTCTTCATACTCTTGGACAGGTTATAGTATACTTTTCATTACGCTACGATCAATAGGAGCAGAGCAGTGAAGGGAAATATTGGGAAAACGGGAGAAGTTACTCCATTTTATAATAAAAATTCGGAACAGAGGTAGAGTATGGTGTGATGTAATACATTGGCATTTTCCCCCTGGGATCCCGGGCGAAGCCGAAGCAGAAGCTAGTATGTGAATAAATGCATGAATTTTAACGGAATAGTGATGGATTTAAATCGTTCTGGCTACTTATATTGACGTTTATCACTTAAACGTAGGTACTAATTTTAAAAGTATGTCAATATCATTAAATCTTTTGCAATCAAGTAGCTAATGTTCTAGAAATAAAGACGTGACACTTCATAACAATTAAGGAATTATTAATTCTACTTGTAATACAACATCATTAGGGTAAAACAAAAAGGCACAACGTATGGTCAAATCTCCTCCTCATTTTGCTTGATTACGACAAATCCAATGTAAGAAATATATTACTAAATATCTTTGAAACTACTTAAAAAACAACTTAATCGTGAGTAAACGAAAAATAAGGTATAAGTGCTTAATTAACAAACCTACTTTTATTTTTATTTCACGAATCCAATGTAAAAATAGCTGCAGTCAGGTTAAAGACCTCTGGAGTCCCAACGAAATGTTCTACAGCCCATGTATAAACAACAATAAAAAAAATAATAAAAAAAAACTGTTCGGTCTTCAAACAAAGAGTAGTGAGATCGCGACGCGACCGCACGCCACGGCCAAGGCGCTCGCAAGGACAAACGTAATTTGTAATAACTTTTGCATCGACATTTTTATTAAAATGTCGACATTTTCAACACAAAACATTTAAAAAGTGACATTTTTGGCATTACGCCAAATATACCTGTGCGATAAATAAAAGTGAAATAAAAAAAAACAAAAGTGACTCGGATTCGAATTCGAATTCAAATTTCGTTCTTTGGAGAAAAAGGAACGATATTGTTAGTGAATTTAAAAAAGTGTGTTTGGCAGTTCGCCAAAGAGGTTGTATTTTAAAAAGTGGATAATTTAAAACAAAAATGTCATGGGAAGTCGACGATGAGTGCAATCGTGAACTGGAATAAACAAACGTGATTTGAATTAATCTTTGACTCTCAAACGTGATCAAAAACATGAATGCATTTTGAAGATAGTAAAGAAAAAGTGATTTTTTGAAGTTCCTAGCCGCTGACTGAACAAAATAACTTAGATATAAATAGAAATAAAAAGTCTACATTCCTATCTTCTATACAATTAAATAGAAGTTGACATCATCGTGTCTGTATTCATGATTCTCAGCAACAAATAGCAGCAGGGTTAAAGGTTTTAAATAACTATTCTTGAGCAAAAACCTATAATTAGGACGTCATAGGACATTAGACAAAAACTAGACCAAACCAATCAAGTTTTTTGTTTATATAATAAATTGAACATCTTTTTGTTACAAACCAAAGATTGCGCAAAGAAAAATATAAGTTTAAAAGTATTCTAGAATAGAATTTGAAATTCAAATTTCAAAGTCAAAAAAGGTTTTATTCAACGAAATTAAATGTACAAATGTGTGAACAGTTTTGTGTTTGTTTGAATAGATTATTATCTGTGGGAAGAGAACATTGACCTATCACTTATTTGTAATAAGAATCATTTTTAAAAAATCTCGAGCATATTAGAAAAGGTTAAAGCTATATTGACGTTATAAAAAATTAACGATTGTGAAAACCCTAAAAAGAAAGAAATAAAAATTGAAAATCTTCTAAAAAAACTAAAAAACCGCACAACAACATTCGACCGTATATTCCAAAAATGATTCTAAATTCAACATTATTGGTGCTGGCAGTTTGCGGCCGAAGACTCTGGCAGGCTCCTCAAGGTCGTATCGTCGGTGGCACGAAGTCTGGCTTCGGGCAGTGGCCGTGGCAGATCTCACTGAGACAGTACAGGACTTCCACATATCTTCACAAATGTGGAGCCGCGTTACTGAATGAAAACTGGGCGATCACCGCAGCACATTGTGTTGAACAGTGAGTATTTTTGTTTCTATTGTAATAAGTTAACGCCCCTGTATTTTTGCCATATGAAATCTAGATAAGATCCAAGTGTGGGAGAGCCATGCTTCGGCACGAATGGGTCGGCTCGACCGGAGTGATACGGCCTCACAGAAAACCGACGTGAAGCAACGCTTGCGTTGTGTTTCGTCGTGTGAGTGAGGTTACCGGAGGCCCAATTACCCCCCTCCTTAGTCCCCGTCTACTGAATCCCCAACGAGTCTCAAACTCCTATAACCTAATCCCCAAAAAGCCGGTAACGCACTTGTAACGCCTCTGGTGTTCCAGGTGTCCATGGGCGACGCCGATTGCTTACCATCAGGTGATTCGTCTGCTCGTTTACCGGCTTATGCCATAAAAAAAAGAATGTGTGCCCCGCACCCTCGTCTCGTGAGATGAGACACTGTGCACCGTGGTCAGGTCAGGAGTCTTGACAGACCTGTTCGTCTTCCCGAGGCTAGGGTTTAATGAGAATTTTCCACCTCAGGGTCAAAAAAATCTGTTTGGTTCATATTATGATAAGTGTCAGTTAAGCTAGAAAATAAAAATTGGGATCGTTGTATCTGATGGCGTTCGCACGATTTGATTTTTATTGCAATGACGTCATAATCATTTCTAGGTACTTAATCAATGTACATTCTTGCATTATTACGATTGCGTAAGAAAATAATGACGAGACATCAGTTTTCCTTGATTTCTTGTCAGTCATATTTGTCTTAGTGGGATTACCATCGACTTAGATTTAGCTGGATATTTTCTTGTGTTGTGATTGTGACATAATTGATAACATCGCATCATTTTACTATAGAACTAGACAGATTTACACATATTTTTGTAATAATGGGGGCCGTCAGGGCTCCCTAGACAGACATGCTGACCAGATTAGCGATATATTAAAGAAGGGCCGAATTAAAAGTACCCTTAACCGACGAGCATGCATGAAAAGATTGATGACTGTTGATGAAGCGAAAGTGATATGTAGGAATCGTAGCAATTGGCGTTATGTACTCTGAGACAGGCTTGAAAATATGTATGTAATTATGCACCATTTTGTTAAAGAAAGTCAAGTACATTCTAGTCTTTTTGCAAATGTTTATTTCCGGGTATAAAGTTTTTTTTTTCTTTTTAATAACTTTGCCCCACTCTAGGATTATCTCAAGTATCGTGGAGGCGTTCACAAACATACAAGTTCACATACACATGACACCCAGACCCAAAACAACAATTTGTGGGTCACACAAAGTGTTGTTCCGTGCGGGAATCGAACCGGCGACACGTTGCGCGGCAGCCAGTTGCCCAGCCACCGCACCAACCAGTCAGTTTTAGCGACGTTTTTTGCAATAAGATCTCAATAACACTTAACTTGACCCGTAAAACAAACCCGATACTTTGCATGCAGTTGTACTTACACCACATAATGTCACATTAACTTGTTATTCGCATTCATCTGACATGACTGTACGGTTGGTGCGGTGGCTGAGCAACTGGCTGCCGCGCAAGGTGACGCGGATTCCATTCCCGCACGGAACATGAACATGAACATGTTTGAGGTGTATGTAGAATGTAGATATATTAATAACATTTTCCTTAAGACGACCTACCTGGGTTAGAAGTCACTACAACATCCAAAGTTATATTTCCTTGATGTCTGTCTGTACCTAAATGTAATCACGGAGTTTAGGCTTGCAGTGTGCATAAAATTGTATCTAATTGGGTACTTTCCTTAATCAAAAATAAAATATTTCGACTGTTTAATACAATATAATATTAAAAAATAATCACACTTTCATTAATTGATTTTATAACAAGCTTAATTTTTGTATTTTTCAGCTACCTATTTTTAAGAAATAAGTTTGCTGTTTGACGCTAAAAAAACGTGACGTCACAATACTCAATCTCGTACAAAATTCACAAAAAACTGTCGTTTTTGACAGTTCGAAAAAATCGTATTGAATTTGACTAGTTGGCAAGTATCCATTTGGCGACCTATATGCATTTATTTCTCTGTATGATTCTTCTGCATATTTAGAAAAAATAAATAACAAACATAAATAAAAATAATATGACTGCCTCGTTGGCCGAGTGGTCTCAAGTCAAAGTCATGCTACAGTGTGGGAGAGCCATGCTTCGGCACGAATGGGCCGGCTCGACCGGAGTGATACCACGGCCGAGCAGAAAACCGACGTGAAACAATGCTTGCGTTGAGTTTGGTCGTGTGAGTGAGGTTACCGGAGGCCCAATTACCCCCCTCCCTAGTCCCCGTCTACTGAATCCCCAAATCCTTCACAATCCTCAAATTCCCCACCCCCTCTTACATGGGACTCATAACATAAATAGTGAAACACTTTTCATTGTTGTTACATTGTACATTGGCATTAAGTGCCGTAATGTGCAGCTCTGACTTCAGGGATAAAAAGGCGAGGCGTGCTTTTGTTATGTTATGTGGTCTTATCACCTATAGTGATTTCTACCAAACAACCTTTGGGTAGATGTAATGCAAAAGAAATATTTAGACGGGTTGTGTACGAGGGAAAAAATAAAAATAAAATGGTATTCTGGTCTAGTACACAAATCCAGTAATGTTACCTGTATTTAGTCTAGAACAAAACGAATTAGTATGTTGTACTTATGAGGTATTTTAATAGTCATAAAATATTAGGTCAAAAATATTTCTGTGTGTATAAGCTATAAGCCATTGCACCAAACCGATAGCCTTTTTTCTAACATCAGTTTTAGTCAGAACCGAAATGGTCTTGGCAAAAAATTACCTTGAAAATTCGGGGATTCACTGTCAGTAGTTGATTATTCGCCAATTTGTCTTGAGGTAAGCGTGGTGATAAATGCGTTTATCTTCTCTGTGTCAAAAGAGGTTTATTCCTAAAAGTGAGACTATAAAGATAGACTTATTTGATAATGAAATTGGTAATTTGAATTAAATACAATATCGAAAACTACAATTGGGTAGTATCCAGGATCTCAAAATTAAAAATCTATTTAGTCCGTCAGTTAGATAACGAAAAAATATTAGACACGTATTTTTTTATTTTGTCGTATTAAGTTGCAATACTTAGATAAAATGGCGCTAGTATTAAGAGTGGGAGGTTGTTACGTCAAAACGTGCTACAAAATGTGGCACGCTGTGACGTCACACGATATTTCAAATTAATATATTGTCGAAAGTATTTAATTTTATGAGAAAAGAAAAAATATGTGGCTAAAGTCTTAAATTAATCTACCACACGGAAACTACCCTATTATGAACTCAACTTTGACTACTGTTCGTGAGTCTCCATCAAGACTATGAATCTCCTCTGCAAAAGAGAGGTTTACCATAATCTCGAAGGTTGGGGGCCAGGTCTGCAGGGTATTTTAACAGCATCAAGTTTATGGGAGAGCGCTGCTGCTTAATTTCTGCTAATAAGTTGTCCCTTAGTCGAGTCTCGACGAAGGCTGGCGACAAATGTATGCTGCTCTTTCTGCCAAATTCTAATATCACCAATTTCTATCTTCAGTGTCCCACCATCAGAACTTCTAGTGAGACTGGGAGAACATGACTTGGCCCAGAGTGACGAGCCATACGGCTTCGTGGAGAGACGAGTCCAGATCGTGGCCAGCCATCCACACTTCGATCCAGCTACCTTCGAGTACGACCTGGCTTTGTTACGGTAAGTTCATAAATTGAATTTTATTTTGTGATATGAAACCTCTCTAACTTTTTCCAGCCAGGAAAATCCTTACTAATATTATAAATTGGAAAGTGAGTTTGTTTGTTTGTTCCGCTTTCACGCCGTAACTACTTAACCGATTGTTTTGATTTTTTGTAGAAGTAAAGTTAGAAGTCCGGATTAAATAATAGAGTACTGTTTATCCCGGAAAATTTGATATTCCCGAGGGAAAACTAAAGTATTAGTATAGATGGCGCTGTGTGTATTGGTATATGTCACATAGGCTACTTTCATCCTTTTGTGACGCGAGAGAAGCCGCCGGTAAAACCTAGTAACAAATAAGATCAAAATTTGTAGTGTCCTATCGATTGTCTTAGCTGTAAAAGTTTTTTCTCTTTGCCTGACCTACTCCTAAATGGATTGTTGGGTCGGACTTAATTCGTTTCTGTAGGGGATATAATCTCGTATTATGACTTTTATTATGACTGCCACGTTGGCCGAGTGGTCTCAGGTGCGACTGCCAGGCAGGGTTTCGGGTTCGATTCCCGGGTCGGGCAAAGTGTATTTGGATTTTTTTTAATCTCAGTAGTAGTACGGTGTCTGGAATTGTGCGTGGTATATGGCAATAGGCTCACACTCTATTACACGGGACTCATAACATAAATAATGAAAAGTGGGTGTTACATTGTACAGTGACGTGATGTTATGTTATTTTGTTTCTTATTAATCCATGCCAAATAAACAGTAAAATTTAAAAACACCTTTATCTTAATCACTGTAACAGTAAAGAATTACAACACAAACAAAAATAATAAAAATTCGACATCAAATCACAAAGCAAAAAAGCCTATACCAACTTTATAACCATGAGGACGAAAAAAAAATAACATACGACCAAAAACATCTAACAAAAATGCATTCCCCATTCGCGATATATCAACGCCCGCATTCCTAACATAGCTGCTAATAAAACAAAGATATTAATGATATAATTAGCATTGGATATAAAATTATTAATGTGTATTAGTCTGCTGATCTCACAATAGATTGGAGTCGTTACAAAAACAGTTACCACGAAGGCACGGAGCGTTGAATTTTTAGAGTTCCTCTCGTTTTTTAATCAAATCCTTGGCGCGTTTAGATGTTTTGCTTTTTTATGATATTTTAAACATCTTTATATATATAATTCTTCTGTGAGTGTGTATGTCACTGAACTTCTCTCAAACGACTGGACCGATTTTGATGATATTTTTTGTGTGTGTTCAAGGGGATCTGGGAATGGTTTAGATTGACAAATCAGCCCGGCAGATGGCGCTGCAGTCGTTGTTTAGGTTATTCATCCTAAACAGCTGAATTAATTTGAATGAATTTTTGTTTATACATTCAAGTGGATATGCAGGGCAACGTCTGTTGGGTCCGCTAGTGTATTATATAGCATTTGGGTACTTGTCAACTAGTCAAATTCAATACTTTTTTCGAACTGTCAAAAACGACAGTTTTCTATGAATTTTGTACGAGATTGTGTATTGTGACGTCACGTTTTTTTAGCGTCAAACAGCATACTTATTTATTAATAATTTGCTGGAAAAATATTAAAATTCAATTGGTCATAAAATCAATTGAAGAAAATGTAATTATTTTTAAATATTATATTGTATTGAACAGTCGAAATAATTTATTTTTGATTAAGGAAAGTATCCAATTAGATTATATATAGATTGTATTTAAAGAACTACTGCTTCGTTGGCTGAGTGGTCGCAAGTGCTACTGCCGGGTAAGGGGTCTCGGGTTCGATTCCCGGGTCAGGCAAAGTAATACTGAGTTTTAAAAAAATTCTCAGTTTTAGCACGGACTTTGGAATTGTGCTCGGTATATGGCAATAGGCTCACCCCCTATTACATGGGACTCATAACATAAATAGCGAAAAGTAGGTGTTACATTGTACAGCTACATTAAGCGTCGTAATGTGCACCTGTGTCTACCCCTTCGGGGGTAAAAGGCGTGTTGTTATGAGGATGATTATTATTAAAGAATATTAATGTTGTCTAATTTTGGAATTGGATCTGATCTGATGATCTTTTCGAGATCACAGTTTAAGGGATTTGGTGTCCAAATACTCAAACGCCACTCAAATTTTAAGTCGCGCTTAATTATAGTTCTGTCACTACAAGTTGTATGTAAAATGACGGAGATGGCACGATATTTAATTACTTAAGTAGTAAAATTTAGTAGCATTTCAGTATTCGTGCGTAAGTTTGTCAGTAGGGGCTTGGAGCCTGGAGGCTTACTCTTGAATCCAATTCCGATCGACCGACATTGGTATTGTGAAATTTCGTACTCTCGAGTTGCAACACTAGCGCCCATTGCATCCATAGTGCGTGGATATTGATTGAACTAAATGGTATTGAGTTTGACTTTATATTCCGTACTCTGAATGCTATTTTAATAGCTACGGTAGGGGTTGTATAGTTTTGACATTGAATAATTATTGAGGTTCTATTGGATTGAAATTGCATTGACATTGAGATTGGTTTCAAGAGTAAGCACCCTGGTTTCTGTTAGACATGTAAAGGCCCTAAGTTGGCTCTTATGACATCGCACCCTTAAAACGCATGACATATACATGTAGGGTTTAGGCGTTTCAGTTAAACTAATTTTAAAGGAAAATAAACAATGTATTAAAAAAAAATAACCGCCTTTTACAATATCATTAAATAGAGCAACGTCTTCGCTCATCAACTGACCGCCATCTTCCGCCATCGCCATCATCTCAATCATGTACATTGTACTTTCATTCCGTCCGTTCGGATTCATTCACACAACATCTTATATTAATTCACCAAGTATTCGGATACACACATACAATCCCACATACATAATATAATTAACTGACATTATTCTTATGCCCGTTTTCTTCTAAATTTAAAGGAACCCCTTAAGATGAGATAGGTGACATTACGACACTGGTTTTCACCAACCAGAGTGCCAAGCACGAATAACTATCGCATTCGTAGCGTAATAGTATCGAGCGCGTTATGCTTAACGCGCTCGATACTGTTACGATACGAATGCGATAGTTACTCGTGCTTGGCCCTCTGATAATACAATTATGGGGTCTAATTTAAGGGCTACGTCACGTTAAGAAACTTTCAGTTAAGGGATGGGTTAATGGTGGTTGTCACCAACCACCATTAACCACTAAAAAAGTAATAAATGGAGCTAATTGCTCGTTCTTCTCCACTCGCATCTACATTTCGGAACGAGCACCTATCTTCACTGACGGACAGACTGACAGACTATTGTTTATTTTGTATTTGTTAACGTTTCAAAAGTACCAAATTATGGTTTAATTGAAATAAATGCTTTAGAGTTTGAATTTGAATAAAGTAAGTACCTAACCGAATGGTAAATAATGCAGAACCCACCTAATTCTAGCCGACTCTGTGCTGCCACCTAGTGGTGCGATGGCTGGTCACTCACCAATGCATTTGACCTTACAAGGTTCACTACCATTGTGTTTTTAACACCAAAATCTATTAAATCTGTTCCTCTCTGCAAGTTAACGTGAGTGATGATTACTTAGTTAGAAAACTGGAGATTTCCTTCGATTCCCCAAGATGTGCTGCAGTAGACACACACATATATTAAAAAGGATAGCTGCCCTGAACTCGCCCTTATTTATAGACAAACCTACTGCCGAATGTCTCACTGGCGACAGATAGCATTATAAAAGTGTTTAAAAAAATGAAAATAAAACTTATCTATAACGCCCGACTCCATTTTAAGTTGTAATTAAATATCGTGCCATCTCTGTCATTATACAAAGAATTTATAGAGACAGAACTATACTTAAGCGCGACTTAGAGTAGTGTTTGAGTATTTGTACATTATATTGTTATGGTTAGAGAAAAGGTCGAATGCTCAGAGGGCGACCGAGTTTGTTTTACGTTTAAAGTCATCGAAAGGAGACCGCGTATGGGGCGTTGATAGTGTGTAAATGTTATAAATATATTAGGATCACGTCCTAAACGTTTTACATATAGTTCCCACATTTTTTGTTTATATATTGAGGTGTTCGCATTCTATTGTATGTAAGTGAGCATTCAAGTAACAATAGCTGTGACAAAGTTTATAGGCTACATAGATAAGAACAGGCATAATGTGCACCTCTGCCTACCCCTTCAGGCGTAGGCGGGATGTTATGTTATGTTGAATTAGCTACATTTGTCAGATACGCATATTACCTACTATCCAATGTTTTGGATTTGCACTATCATCGACGCAATGTGACCAATGTTTGGCAATAATTCGGTTCCTTTTATGTCAAAGGGGATGTTTTAAAGTTAGGCTCCCCTGTATTTTCGCGTCTGTTTTAATACCGGTCTGGCTAAGTTACAATGCGACTAAGAACTGACATAATTTTTAGTAAAATAAAAATTTCATTTCGTCCGTTATCAATATTCATCCGTTATTTTATAATCGAAAGATTTAATATCAAAATAATGATACAATTGTCCCACGACTGACTCCAACTCTTCATATTCCAGGTTCTACGAGCCGGTGACCTTCCAGCCGAATATCTTGCCGGTGTGCGTGCCTGATGATGACGAGGACTTCGTCGGGAAGACCGCGTACGTCACCGGTTGGGGACGACTGTTTGACGGTACGTTCATTCTTATGTTCTAGTACTAATACTTCAATGGTTCTCAAAGTTTTTGGACCTGACAAGATCGAGAGTAAAAATATGGAATACTTTACACATTATACCGCCGCTTTCAGCGGCGCGCCGTTCGGATTGTTGGAATATTTCAAACCGGCTGAACACTTTGGCAATGAGTAGAGATGTAGCTTCATTGTGCATTTTCTATCGCTTATACCACGGGGAGTGCTCTAAGGAATTTTTTGACCTGATACCTGCCGCATCTTTTCGCCATCGACCCTCACGACAGCATATGCATCCCCACCATATAGATTGATCAGATTGTCAGGCCACAACTGCGCGCTTCTCACGTAGCTTCCTGCGTGGTGTTGCGGGTACCCATGGGCGGCGCTGATTGCTTACCATCAGGTGATCCGTCTGCTCATTTGCCTCCTCTTGTGCACCAGTGACCGGTCAAAGTCAAAGCTTAGACTGCCAATAGGAAACTGTTGTACACAAATCCGCTAAAGTCGGTCACCGGAGACCCCATGGGGGGGCGTAACGTAGTGTTAATAATTCAGTCGTACACCATCGATCGGCCGACGTTTGACCACTATCTCGCCTGGTGGTAAGCTATGATGCTGTCTACGATGGAGCACGTCGTCCCATAAGCAACCTATTCACTCGGGCCTTGAAGACACCCTTCAATAAATACATACTCTGGCAAAGACTTCCACTCCTTAGCAGTATGCACAAGGAAGCTTGATGCGAAGCGCTTCGTGCGTATGGGTGGGATATCTACCATGAACGAGTGACGCTTTGCCGATTGTCTTGTGGTACGATGATGGAAAGGACTAGGGGGAATCAAGTTGTGCAATTCCCCCGCTGACTCACCGAAATGTATCGGGTAGACCGGAAGGCTTGCAAACTTACGCCTGTATTCCTTTTTAAAAGACCGACAACACACCTGTGTTATCTCTGGTGTTACGGGTGTCCATGGGCAGCGCTGATCGCTTACCATTAGTTGATTCGTCTGCTCCTTTGCCTTCTATTTCATAAAAAAGAGAAAAACAGGCATTAAAACAAGACTAATCAAACTATTTCGTATTACAGAGGGTCCCTTACCCAGCGTGCTGCAAGAGGTCCAAGTCCCAGTGATCAACAACACGGCGTGCGAGGCAATGTACCAGGCGGCTGGATACAACGAACATATACCAAACATATTCATATGTGCTGGGAGAAGCAAAGGCGGGGCTGACTCTTGTGAAGGTAAATTGAGATTTATTCTTAAGAACATAAGAAAGAAAGAAAGAAAAATCATTTATTCAACAGTAGGCACGCACACAGATACAAATAATAAATACAAAATTAAAAAAGAAATAACAAATAAATAAACTTATTTATACAGATATAGAAAAAAAAACACAAAGAAACGACAACGTATAACAAAACAGTGACAATAGAATACTAACAAAATAATTAAAAATTAATAAAAAACAAGATATAAATAAATAAATAAATAACATTTAACGGTGCGTGCCCTTGCCAAAAGTGGAGGCTCTCAGCATTAAGTTAAGCGTACATGCCCAACGCTGATTTTTAGATGGCACCCTGAGGTGTAGTTTAGGTAGAAGGCAAATCGCAAGAAGTTACCGGGGCTCCAGCTCGAAGCAGGAGTAGGAACTGGGTGGTTTTTAGTCAAACAGGGCTTGTACACAAAACTGCGATGCGATGCGAATTCGCAACGCAGAAAATTACGATGCGAATTGCTGCGATGCGATTTCGTGCGACAAGGCGTCTGCCAGGGTGACCATTCCTTCGACGACAGTCTACCGTACTAAACGTATTTTAAATTGAAAACTAGGTCGTGACATGGATCGTAAAAAGAAGTGTGCACTTCTGTTACTGCTTAGGAGATACAGGAAAAATAAACAAAGAAGATTTTGGGAAGATAAGATTTTGATGCGCGTTGCGAATCAATTCGCAAGTTCTTGCGATGCGTAGAGGGAGCTCGGATCTTTTTGCGATGCGACGTCGCATCGCAGTTTTGTGTACGAGCCCATAGAGTCTGACACTCCCTCTCGCCACATCCAGGGTGGGAGAAGTTATTTGATAACTCCCCCCGCCTTCGAAAAAGCCAAATGTGTAGTTTTAAGTAAACTGTAGTTTAAGCAAAGACGTCGTTTGTAGAAACTGTTAACTGTTTGAACTATAAAATAGCAAGTCAATAATATATATATATATAACATCACGCCTTTTATCCCCGAAGGGGACAATGAAACACCCACTTTTCACTATTTACGTTATGAGTCCCATGTAATAGGGGGTGAGCCTCTGCCTACACCTTCGGGGATAAAAACCGTGATGTAATGTTATGATACTAGCTCTATAAAATACTTATATACCTTTCCAGGTGACAGTGGAGGTCCAATGGTGGTCCGACGAGAAAGGGACGACCGATTCGTGCTGGGCGGCATCATATCCTGGGGCATCGGGTGTGCGGAACCCAACCAGCCTGGAGTCTACACAAGAATCTCAGAGTTCAGGGATTGGATCAACCAGATACTACTCTTCTAGAACTGCTAAACTTCTCTACAAATCAGGAATGTTTAACTTATTTCCTTCACACCATCGACAGCCTATAAATACCCACTGCTGAGCAAAGCCTCTTCTCACACGGAGAAGGTTTGAGCATTAAACCACGCTTGCTCAATGCGGGTTGGCGATTACAAACTTATAATTAGAAATTATAAGCCCAGGTTTCCTCACGATGTTTTCCTTCACCGTTTGTCAGTAGTGTCTAAATAATCTTAGAAAGTACATATAACTCGGAAAAAGTCACATTGGTTTACTGATAGGTTAGAACCTGCACCCTCATGAGAAGCAGTCGTATTTTGACCTCTGGGCCCCCACGACCACTTATTTTTCTAACGAAGTATAGCAAAATGGTCATTTGCCCTCCCCCCTCCCCCCACAGCCCTTGTCCCGTATAATATGTAGAGGGAAACAAATTTCACAATATATTTAATTGTTTACATATATTTTGTCTTACCACGTCTATTTCTTGACAAATAATGATGATAGCATATAGTTCAGTTGATAAAAAAAAATTATAAGTATATGTGGTCTGTAAGAAATCGCCTTGTGCGATAAGACCGCCCATTGTACACTATTTTTGTTAATATATATCCTATCAAATCAAATCAAATCAAATCGTCTTTATTGTGGACTATAGGTATGCATCAGAAATACAGGTCTTAAATAATAAAAAAATCTTATAATGTGATTGTGTAGTGTAGAATAAAGAATATATTATTATTATATGTTTTTAATCCATCCATATATATAGTTCACAAAACAGCCATAAAGGGCACAGCTTGACTATTTTTGTAGGATTTTTTCAAAAAAATACGTTTTATACTTCTTTCGTTACCTATCTACTTATTTGATAAAAATTGTCCGATACGTTTTTGTGTAAGCTTTTGACAAATCCTATTTTATGATTTTATAAACTATCGTGGGACATACTATATTAATTAAAAAATCGCGGGTTACTGACGTGAATATACTGAGAAAAGCTCTACTAGTTTCGAACCACAGAGGGGTTCTTCCTCAAGAGCAGCGTGCGCGGTCGCGGCGAAGTCGCGCAGCCTACTGACTTATACCACTTCTCAGTGTATTCACATGAGTAACCCTCGATTTTTTAGTTAAATCCTATTTTAAATAAATAGTCAGAAATAATTTCAAATTAAACTTAAACTATACATAAATGTTAATAATTAATTTATTTATTGAGAGAAAAAACATCGTTTCGGGAGCGATTAATGACAAATAATTGTTTGTCAAATTAATTATAATTACTTTGCGTAGTAATTATGTCCAAATACATTAATAATTATATGATATAATAATAAGGATGGCCGTTTGTCTACCCCTTAAGAGAAAAGCTTAAAATCTCATTCAGGTTCGATTCTCGAATCACAGAAAATTAAGTATAATTAGTATTATTAAAATATTTCGGTGCCGAAATTTTGGAAATTCTTCAGTAACAGCCTGGAGTTTAAAATCGTGTCTGGTCTGCTAAAATTAAAAAAAAACATTTGCTTTATCATGATTTTTTAATAATAGATATTTTTTTCTTAAGGGGCATTATATTTAGTAAATGGACCATCCCTATTGATATATTAGTATGTTTTAGATAAAATTATACGAATTTATATTTAAAATAATTCTTTGTAAAAATGTCTTTTAATATTTAAGTTAAAAAAATACTGCCAACGGCATTTCAAATGATATTTAGAGAAAAACTGAGTTCCGATAGTTTTCAATTAATAAAATTTAGGAAAATAAGTATTTTAGAAAAAAATATTAAGAATACTTCGTATTTTTTTTAGTTTTAGTACTTAATTTATTTTTCTAGCGAATTATTTGTAAATATTTTTCGATAACTACCTATACCCTATTATTATTATTATCTTTATGCATTTATTAATTTTATTTAATTAGCCATAAATTAATAATTGTCAGATTAATATCGAGTGCTGATTTTATGAATTTATTAAATTAAATAATTTTAAAAAGTTTTATTCGTATTTTATTTACCTACTTATATGTATAATGTCCTGGTATTGTAGTATCTCAGGCATGTTTCCGAATGCAAGGGTGAAAGATTTTTTTTAGAGTTGCACCGAATATTCGGTTTCTATCCGGTATCCGACTTATACAGCCGTTATTTATTTATTTATTTTTATTTATTTACTAGCCGACCCGGCAAACTGATAGCAAATTGAGGAGCGGGCGCGAGTGTACGACATCACACAACATTTGGCCACGTCAAAATACAGCTCATTATCCCGGCTCCATTGTACTACTTGAACAAGATCTCGCTGAAGCCGAGCACAGCCCACGGAGTCCTCGACCTTATTATGTTATTTACTATCCGGCCTGATACCGGATACGGGATAGTAAACTTGGTTTGTCACTTCCACTTCACCATCGTCCCGTTCCTGTAGCAGTTGGTTACACATGTGCTTGTATGACTCCAATTCCTTTAGCGCTGCTCTCAGTTTGCAGTTTGGTAGATTTTAAAAGTGAAATCTAAATAAAGACACAGTTAGTAATTGAATATTTTTATTTTAACTTTTAATAATAACAAGTCAAAATCTGCACGGCGACCGGCGTGGCTATACGCGACACGCACCTAGGAAACTCAAAATGTAGGTATCACACTTTTTTTTAAGGGGGGAAAATCATCGAATGGCTGCTCCCGCCTGGGTGAGGCGGGAGGGAGTGTCAGACTCTTACTGACTAAAAACCACCCCGTTCCTTCTCCTGCACGTCGAGCCGGAGCCCCGGTTACCCGTTAGGTTCTCCGCGACTCCGAATCGGCATCGGCCCTATTGGGCCCCATCTGTGGCGGTCTGATGGCTCTTTGAGGCGCGCGCGGAACGCGACGCGCCGTACGCTCGGGTGTGTTTCTGGTCGGACCCCGGAGCCACCCATGCTCGCCGTCCGCGCTAGGTATCACACTGCTCTGCTGCAATATTCGAATATATATAAACAACTATTCGTTGCATCTCTATCGATCAAAAATCAGCCTCAATGGTAAGCAGAATGCGGGGCAATGTCAACGGAATCCTGAGGATGATTTCTGATTAGTCAGAATCTACTGTTTTGGGAAGATATGCTCATCTGCATGTGAAGGCATGACTCTGACTCGTTGTATCATTCGACATTGTTTGATTTATCTTGCAATTTTGATTACAAATAGATACTACCATAAGTTTTATAAGATATTTGTTACTGTTATATGGAAAATTTAGGCTGAAATATTTAAATGAATTTATTTATTTACATAATATCACGCCCTTTTTATCCCCAAAGAGGAAGTCAGAGGTGAACATTACGGCACTTAATGCCACTGTACAATATAACACCCACTGTTCACTATTTATGTTATGAGTCCCATGTAATACGGGGTGAGCCTATTGCCATATACCGGGCACAATTCCAGTCTCCGTGCTGCTACTGAGATTTGGTCGCACCAGGCGAGATTGCGGTCAAACGTCGACCTATCAAGTATAAAAAAAAGTTTGTACTGACTGGGTAGTTATTGGCATTTATGGGTCTGAAGGCGTAGTGTAATTATTTTTTAGTAATAGGTATAATTAGAGTACCTACTCCCGCGCGCTGCTCGGCTCCTATTGATCGTAGCGTGATGCTTTAAATATATATAGCCTTATAGGCCTATAGCCTTCCTCGATAATTGCACTATCCAACACAAGAATAATTATTCAAATGGGATCAGTAGTTCCCGAGATTAACGCGTTCAAACGAAACAAACGATTCAGCTTTATGCACCGTGAAATCTATTCCGTTTTCGTCTCGAAGTAAAATGGTTCTGTCTTGGTAATACAATAGTTTTACAAAGAAATGAAATGTTTAAAACAAAAAATAACAAAACATAACATCACGCCTTTTATCCCCGAAGGGGTAGGCAGAGGTGCACATTATGGCACTTAATGCCACAGTACAATGTAACACCCACTTTCCACTATTTATGTTATGAGTCCCATGTAATAGGGGGTGAGCCTATTGCCATATACTGGGCACATTTGCAGACTCCGTGCTACTACTGAGGTTTTTACAAACCCAGTAATACTTTGCCCGACCCGGGAATCGAACCCGAGACCCCTTGCCCGGCAGTCGCACTTGCGACCACTCGGCCAATGAGGCAGTCTATAAAAATAACTAGTGAACTATTGCAAAAAGCAAACTTCGAAAGCGCATACTAACTCATAGTATGTTATCAAAACACCACGCCATTATTCTCGAAGAGGTATCTCTCGTCGGGTGACACGTGCGATGCGGATAGTGCCTACAACTTTACGTCTAGTGTTTCATGTGGGTACCATGAAACAATTTTCAAACTAAAAATAATTACGTCTTTATATTTTTGTTTTTACTTTGCTCCTTATGGCAAGTTGTTTTGCCGCGCGACGAAAACGAAATTTCAGGGTACCTACCAGGGATTTTTTTTTTAAACTGCGAAACACCAAGCGGTCGCCGGTGACCGCAACCTATTGTTCGTTAAACTCGTCGAGTACCGGTTTTGTAGACACAATTATAGAACAATAGGTTGCGGTCACCGGTGACCGCTTGGTGTTTGACAGTTTAAGTCTATAATGACGGTACTCAACGAGTTGTGGGGAAAATCATCGAATGACTGCTCCCGCCTGGGTGAGGCGGTGAGCCATCCATGCTCGCCGTCCGCAGGCCCGCGCTTACGGTGGCCGGAGATCGTCCCGCAATCCCCGACGCCCGGTGTGTCCTTCGCGATGGCTGGGTTGCGAGGAGGCAGCGCTTCGCTGACTCACGCGTCCTGCCTCCTCCTTAGCTAGATAAGGTTATAGTCTATAAAGCCTTGAGGTAACCATTGACATGTTATAACAGTCTAATAATCTATACACAGCTATATATTTACTGATGAACGCATCAATCATTAAAGTTGGAGGTCATGCGGTTATTGTGATTATTTACTAGTGAGGAACACAATAGAAGGGATGTTGAACGTATAATATATTGCACTATAAACATAACTATGTTAATTTAATATGATTTACTAAAAGACTTAACTACATAATATATTTATTTATTAATTTATTAATGAGCACAACACAGACAATACGCAGAAAAAAACT